TGCTGTTTGAAACTCAAGCCAATTAAAGTACCATTTTTTCTTCCAGTCAAATCCAGCTGGCGTATAAGTAAGTTTCTTTCGCATGGCAAGTTTCCTTCAGCGTGGTTAGAATAATTTACAAACTAGGAAAGGCTCCTGTTTATTTGGTCTGCAAGGCCTGACTGGAATGCATTTTGGGAAATTTTTACAAGGTCAGACACCACAGTGTTGCAAGGAAAAAGAAGTAATGCTAATTGCCAAAAAAAAACCAAAAACAACCTATCCTTTCTCTCAAGAAGGAGCTGATTTGGCCAATCTGCCAAAATACAAAACAATTTGCACTGTAAGTCCTAGAAGAATTTATAGTCTTCAGAACAAAAGCCTTCTATTTCTATCTGATTAGCATAGCTGGCTCCCCAAATGGCTTGCTGGCCTCTGTGACTCCTATATGCAACTACCTTTTCTTTATGGATGGTGGGCACGTAGCTTGATGCTGAAGCTCCCACCATGCAGCAAGACACATTTAAGAGGTAGGCACTGCAAAAGTGAGCCCATGTTCCCCTATGGATTAAGCTGCAAGAATATATTATTATATATTTATGCATTTTAAGGTATTTATATACTTATATACACAAATATGTGTATAACTGTTTAGGGGTATCCTCAATTTGCCTGCATCATCTATAATGAAGTTTTGACAACTGGTCAATAGGCATAGGTCAGGCATTGTATAATTTTGTTTATCCAACATGAACTACAATCCTGTCAGTTTTGGTGGAATACAGTTTGGGTTAGAAAACCATTGCCAAGTTTTCAAGCTTCTAACACTACTTTACTGTTGACTTCTTTAAAAGTTAAGCCTTCCAAAATATAAAAACTGCATATTAAAACTGCTTTTTTTTTTTTTTACTTTCTGTGCATTACAGACACATATGTAAAAGTAATTTATTTTCCTTGTTTTACGACAGTGCTCTGCAGTGATCATTTTCTCCTTCCTGTACTCGTTCTCTTAAGCACTGAATCAAATGCATTCAAGTTCCTGTGGTTTTGAGTTAGTAATCATGCTGAAGCAGGTAGCATAGTATTTAATGTAGTTTACTGGAGTTTGAAATTAAAATCAGCTTTAAAAAGTGTAATTTCCATTTTGAGCAAATCATCCTGATAGTAGATTGACCCCTGTGAGAGTTTTTATTACCTTACTACTGCTATACAGCTAGAAGATACCAGCCAAAAGGCAAGGAGTTTTGTTGTTTGCAGGTCCTGAGAGTTGCCTCCTACATAACTTCATGTCCTCAAGAAAAATATATTTTCTGGAAATGCTTGTCTAGAATTCAAAATTAAAACCACCATGTTATATTTTTTTTCAATAGATCGTAAGGGGAGAAACAATTTTCAAGGCTGGCATTGCAGCTCAGCAATATTAAAAAGGAACATAGTTCACTTCTTGATTACATATTGGACTATGGTTTGGGATAAGATGTGGAAATCACAACTCCCTGTCGTAACGCCTCAGCATCTCCATCAGTGCTTTTAGTGATTATAGCTTTAGTGTCAGAAGAAAAGTCATTCTGACTCATTTTGAGCATTGAGAACTTTAACAACTAGCTGTGAGATGCCATATTTTCAGACGGACAGACTATGAAGCACATGAAAACACTCCAAGTTTTCCAGAACTGAACCATTTGTATGCTACCACTGATTCCCAAAGAGAATAAAGTATCATTGAAACATGATTCATTATTTCTTAAGCTGTCAACAGATAAACCAAATATATAAATCTTTTACAGTGATATAGATTAAAATGAATAATTATTATTTTGCTTAGGTTTGCTGGTCTTGATGAAAATACTAATATATATGCAAATCTTCATGTACATCAGCATGTTCATTTCAGTAAAATTATGCATATCTACCTGGCTGCAGAATCAGCTCACAGATTTTAGAACTGGAAATACCTCTCACTCCAATCTGTCCATTGTTTTCACCCGTGGGATACAGGCTTGTGGGAAAATAGTCAGGGTAATCTTTTATAAAACAAAATTTCAAATCTGAATGATGGGCGCAATATAGTAGGAAATAAACCCTATGCCACCAGACCATTGGAACATTTTTACCAAATAACAGACAACATTTTTAAATCAAAAATGATGAGATTAAGATTATACTGTACAATCTATGTAATGGAAAATGGATATCTGAAATTTAAAAGAATAATAGTAAATAGAACAAAGCAGTTGATAAGAACAGGTCACACAATAGCTGGAAATCTAAAATTAAATATTTAATTAGAACTCTGAATTTGCTTTCAAGGTAGGTGGCATTGCACAGGCTATATTACAATCCTTTATTTTTTTTTTCTTTTTTTTTGCAAAAGAGAATACTGTTTATTTTTAACAGGCCACTTTAATATTAATACATGTGTGATAGGATCAGAACTGAAAATCAGCTAAAGATGATAAATTTTACATTATTGGGAAAATTACATTTTTTGTATTGTAAAAACATTTATTTTAACAATTTACCTACATTAATCAAAAAAGTACAGCATATTTAATAATTTTACAAATTTTTCATAAAAAATATATCTCTGTACAAAAAGTTCTTTTGCACCTACTTCATGTCACAGCAGCATGTGGTGAAATGGCAGAATGAAATACTGGGAATGAAAATTAGATTGACTTGATCATAATGCCGGTGTTCTTCCCCAACCACCCCCACCCTAACCCTCCCACCTTTTTTTATGTTTTTTTTTTCTTTTCTTTGTTTGTTTTTAATAACAGCTTTTCTTTGTTTACAAAATATTTTACACAAGAAAAAAAATTATTGCAGCTAGCCTGGAGAAAGGCAAGATGTGTGATACAAGCAGCAGTTTTTAACAGCTTTGAAGCACATAACCGTTTTTTTTAAAAAATCTATAGCATGTATTCTTAGCCCATCAAAATGATCTGGTCAACACTGGGGGAAAAGTCTTCTGCATATACCTCAGAAAGCAGATTTCCTGGCTGCCATTACCTGGCCACTGCACGTTTTAAGAGTCTTATTCTGATGAAGTACCATATATGAGTGCATGCATACACAGCCCTCTTGCAAATAACTGCAAGAGATATCCAACCTCAACAAAAGAGCCAAACAGAAAAGGAGAGGCATTTGAGAGATATGGATAGAACTGATAAAACTTTCCTTTCCTTGGGCTCCAGTTTGGAGTTGCTGTTTAAGAAATACTCCAAACAAATGTGTTAGGGTAATTTGTCAGCATACTTCAATTTTGAGTGTCCCTGATTCAAAAGACTTGCGATAGACAATCTCACGTAAAACACCATGGAAGGAACCACTGGGGAAAGCACTGGTTCACAGCATATGGACTCTATAATATAAAAGATCAAATAATTTAATGTTTTTAATTTATAGTACCCTTCCTCCACTGAATTCCTCAGTGACCACAGTGAGACAGGTGAGAAGAAAACATCAATAATAAATATTTAGCATTTTGCACTTACTTTCAATACTCCTTTTTTTTTTTTTCTGTCATTGCCACTTCAGAAAGACTTCCAAAGCAGAAATGACAATTTTGAACACCTGTCAAAACATTAGTCACACAGGTTCCCTCCCTGGCCCACTGTTTCTAAAGAAGCTCTTCATTTACAGGGCAGCTTCTTGTGCACTGGGGAGGATCAGGACAATGACTTTGATCTGACGACTTTGTTCTTTTTCAGGAAATGTGAAGATCTCTGAGATGTGACAGATAAATGAAGCTACACAAAAAAGTCTCAAAAAACAAACAAGAAAGAAAGCCCAAAACTACCAACAAAATGAACAAGGAACTGACTGGAAAGGATTATTTATTAAATTTTCTTCAGAGTTTCTTGCTCATATGAAGAATGTAACAGCTGGAGGCCCAGCGTTACTGTATTATATTGCTGATATTTTTCCTCTGAAAGGTGTAGAGTTGCTAAACTAACCAAGAGTTACCTTAGAAATTTTCTGTATGTTCTATAGCATTAGCTGAAAGAATCTGTTAATGGGCTTACACTTCCTTTTTGGTTGGACTTACATTTTCTTTTGGTTTTGTATGTAACAGCCAGACCTACAAACATAAGGAGTTCAGAAACATTTTTCTTCAATTTTTGATAATAACTAGACATTAAGGCTGTTAGAACTAACTTAAAAGCAAAACAAAACCAAAGACCTTTGCATTTTTAGAACAAAAGCAAAAGCAATGTCCTCAGTTTCCAAGTGCAACATGTACGATTAAGATCAAATTTTGCTTTTTCTTTTTGGAATTTCCTAATCTTAAATGGTTATTTAATTAATCTGCCCAATGACATCTTTTCTTTTCGTTCAATAAAATCTCTCTAATTCTAAAACAAATGTTAATAATTTACTCAACCATCCATATTTACAAATGTCAAACTTTTTCTGTCAAACTGTGTAAGTACAAAAGCAGTAAGCAGTGTGTTTAAAAAAATCTGAAAAGAAACAGGAAGAGAATATAACGGAATATTTCTCTTTGTTTCAAGTAGAAACTTAATGACAGTTTGTTATGGACAATTTGCACTGGGTTTACATATGCTACTGAAATGTGTTTTAGTTCCATGTAACATCAGAAAATGATGTTATATTACAGGAAAAATGAAAAAAAAAATGCAAAAGGGAAGACTGTATTATGAGCACAGGCTCACAGGCTTTATGAGCTATCTAAAATAAATTACTATTCACATTTGTACATGGCAAGCAGCAACAGCTGCTAACCCCCCTGCTGTTAAATAGTATGATACTGACAGTAGTGAAAGATGACCAATTCCAGAAGAAAACAATATTGGCAATGAAAAATTCTTAGAAATGGGCTCTTTTTTTGGCTGAAAATCTCCAGTGACTTGTAATAATATCTATGGAGAAATTTAGTCAAAAATTGACAAAAGATATATTGTCCTTTATAGCACAAGATTTCACTTGTGCTAAGCATGGGGCTCATAATTTAATATTCCAAGTAAATTGAACACCTGTGTGGAATTCCAATTGTGGAATGTTTTGCTTGGCAAAGAGTGAGTGAATGTCTATATACAATGGACAGTGTGTATAAACCCTGTATATTTTTACCAGTATCTTACTCAGTCATCCATAACACTAGTGCAAAAAATTGTGCATTAATATTTTGCAATATAACAGCTGATTGGAAAATTGGCAAACTGCCTTATGTTTGAGATAAACTGTATGTTCAATTTTAACAAGATTTCAATGGTAAAGCATTTGCGTGTGTATGCAACCTTGAGGAAGGTTGTCTTCTTTGAGAGAGAGCTTTATTTCTTCAGAGTATTCCTGTTCTTGGGGATAATCTGTGGTGTTGTCATTTGTCACAGTACTCAAAGGATTTATCCAAGTGCCCAGAAGAATGCATTGAAAGGCATCCAGCCACATACAAATATGAAAGTCTGAGGCGTTAAATATGACAAATTGGCATGACTTGGCAGTCTTCCTTAAATTGTGCCTTGCTTTGAAGCAGATGCAGCCAGGCATTTTAATCCAACTTTAAGATGAAAAAAAAATTCTCTGTGGGATCCCCAGAAGACTGACACTTTTTACCAGAAAATTTAGCTGCATGTAGGCTGACAGAAGATGTTAAAGATTACAGCAGCAAAGCCAAGAGAAGAAGGGAAACTGGTATATGGCACCAAAGGAATTACTGCTTGTCCATCAGAGGTATGGCTATGAATCAGTCATATTGGGCACTGAAGGCTATACCACTGTACAAACTGTGTTCAGAGTCGTATCAAACCTCACAGCCTTTGCTTCTGTGGGTTTTAAGTTTGTGTCATACATGGGATTTTCAAATGAAGCCTGTCCATTACTGTTTTCATGTCCAGCATACCCATTGTACTGTACTTTTGGTCTTGTTCTGAAAAAAAAGGACAGAAATATATCATTAATAAATATTAAAAATACAAATTGCACAAATACTGCGAGTTACTATAGTGTTTTCATCTTATTTACACCAGTTGTGTGACTAAATCCAACAGCGATACAGGGAGAACCATAAAGGATGTCACAGCAGACTACTGTAACTATATAGGTGACAGTGAGTTGCTCCTGATTTTTCATTTATAGCAGCTTTGGTTTTAGATAAGATGAACACTCTCAGTCTTTATTGATTTGAATGTTTTCCAAAAGAGATAGCAGAGCTGGTTTAGAAATTTCCTGTTATTAGGTATTTATAATCATAATGTTTATAATAAGTACTGTTGCACCATTATGGTGCAGCAACACATTTTTGGGGCTCTACTAAATCAATGCACTATCAGCCATCATAGCTTCAACTCCAGACTGACACAGACTGTGAGTATCCAGCAAATCTCGCACTGTTAGAGACGGTAACCTTCAGATAAAGGTCAGCAGCTTCTTCAGTGTTCCATGACAAATCTTCCAAAGCATGCCTCTTACTTCCATAAATATTTTCAACAGTTCTAGATGAACATTTCCTCTATTTTGGTCATTAATTTACCATCCTGTATAACATAACTTCAAGGATGTTCACATTCTTATGGCCATTAGGACATATGAAGCCAAGAATTAAATAAAGGCTAAAACACAATCATGCAATCTTCCTGATATCTCCACTAAAAATATTATACTATTTTACTATTATACTATATTATACTAATTTAACCTTAAATTCTCAGAACTTGCTAGCTATCTATAGAAATATATGAAAAAGTCTCTTTATGTAATTTCTTACATTTTCCCAGGAGTTGAAAAAGCGCAAGAAAATCAATGAGGAGTGCAAAATGTTTAATATTTTTCTTAAAGGCTGAGATGCTGTCTTCATTCTTGCTATAGTCTCTGTCTGCCAGATAAAAGGGACTGAAACAATGTAAAAGTGCTTTAATAAGCACTGGCTTATTAAAGTGCTGGCTGTTATTAGATGATATTAATCTGACATACGCACAGCAGAAACATCCATAAAATTATCCTCTAAGAACACCTTCAAATTTTCTGATATAAAGGTAATCTAGTGGCATAACTACTATCATATCTTCCTGAAAACTTCATGTTGCTATTCTGATCCTTAATCTATCTCCAAGAAACTGTTTTCAAAAGCCACACGTTCTCCATCCTTTGTCAGAGATAATAAAGATGACATGCAGTTACTTTAATTGCTGACCAATTCTCTGCTTTGGAGATTTTAAGTTCCCTGCCTTCAGAATACTGACTATTGCTTAGTTTCACTGCATGTACTTAATATTTCATTTTCAAATGTAGGGACCCCCTACATCAATAATCAGTTTGTTACTTTCTTGAAGATATCTCAAACATGACACTGGTTAACTCTCTTAAAACTATGGTTTATTGGAAGAAATAATTAGCAAATACAGAGGAAGAAAAACAGTCACTGAAAGTTCCAGCTAATGAGTATTAGATTAAGGTAGGCAGAACTGCAGTGCTGCTGCTACTTGAAACAGAATGACTAGAACTTTTTGTTTGTTTGTTGTTTTGAAGATCAAATTCTTACATATATATATCTTTTCCAAATAGAAAAGAAAATCTTTACCAGTTATACATCACATAACAAACTTCAGAGAACAAACTACAAAAAAATCCCTTTGGTCAGAGTACATTTCTGTTGAATTGGCTTAGAACTTGGTTCCCCTTTCTAATAGTAAACTGACAGCAATGTTCTCTTTGGGTTCCATCTCTTGGGTTAGCCTGAATGCCTGCAGTTCCACACTTGCCCACTGCAGGAGCTATTTGAGCATAAAGATCTGTAGGCATCAGCAAGTCTTCCAATAACATGTACACCACTCTTCTTGAACAGTCTTTTTCAAACAAAGACTGCATCATATTTCAAGACATGTACCATTTTATTTGGAGTTCACAAGTTTAAGCCCCACTGCAATTTCTTCTTCCTGAAACATCTAATGCTGAAATAAGTAGACAGTCAAGCTAAGAAACTTCATCATAGAATCAGGGAATGGTTGAGGTTGGAAGGGACCTCTAGAGATCACCTAGCCCAACCTCCCTGCTCAAGCAGGGACAACCAGAGCATGTGGCATAGGGTCACATCCTGGTGGGTTTTGAAGATCTCCAAAGGAGGAGACTCCAAAATCTCTCTCACACATCATAAGCTAGTGATGGACTTCATTGTGATGGTATATATATATGTGTGTGTTTGTATGTCTATTCCTTACAATCACACATTCCTCTTGGTATCATGATGGTAGAATAAAGATTTAATAGTGTGCCAGTGAAATCTCTTTCTTTTAAACACCACCTGCAAATAACATATGGAGGTCAGAGAGTACTGTGGCTTTACAGAAACAGAAAAATAAAAACAAAACTATTCCAAGCCAACAGTTACTCATAATGAACAAATTTTCAAAAAGTAAAGGTGTCATCTTTGTTAGCTTTTAAACCAAATTTCAGACAAGATGGTTGGATTTATTCTGATATTATCTACTAACATATGTAAGTTTCATACAAGCTGAAGTACTGCCAATTCTAGAAGTAGTAGTCACTAGCTTAGTCAGCATGTACTTTAAATAGTGTCATTAGGGGCTGTTTCCTTTCGGATTTATGGATTTTTCAGCTTGTGTAATTAATATTAATATACACTTTGAAAGAAGCAGCATATATCCAATTAAGTAGAGTACTAAAATAAAAGAATAAAATATGTGACCTAAGGTTTCCTATCTGATTCAGCCTAACAAATCAAAAAGGCTTATAGGTCCTCGCTCCTTAACACAGTGACTCATTTTTCTAATTGCTCACTGTTTAAAACTCCTCTATACTGAACTTCTTGGTAGGACTACTTGAAAATATTTGTCTTTTTCAAGTAAAGCTATTCTAGAAGACTTCAGCATTGTGTTCCCCACTTACTTCCACCTGTCAGATTAAACCCAAAATCTTATTAAGTTACTGAACAAATAACATTTACAGTACCTGTGTTTGTAGAGGTAAAATGCAAAGCCTGATAATATTAGAGCAAAGAATGGTACCAGGATGGCAGCTGCAACAGAACTGCTGTTTGTGCCATAGTAATGATTTGAAAGATCTGTGTCTGCGCTTAAAGGACCTGAAATGGAAATAAAAGGACAGAAGTAAAATTTCCAGGTTTTCTACCTTACAATTCTCCCAAGAGGAAAGACAGAAAAGACAGAAAGAGAGAAACATTGTCTTGATAAAATCATTCTATTTTAAAACATGAAATTTATAACATTATAACAGTGTGACAGTATAAATCTTGGTGATACTACTCAATAGTGCATCATTAATAACTATCAAAATGATTTAAATACAATGCTCAGAAAGTTAAATAATCCTTGTGTCACCCAAATACCATCATTATGAACTATATCTCTCAGATATCACTAATTTAAGAAAAGTAAGCTATATGCCTTATACAAAAGATGAGTAATACTGCAAAAAAAGTGTTCTAGAATGCTTTTTGCCTAAATATTCAGCATAGAAACAACAGGCAATGATAGAATACATCAAACATGAAAAAGGAAAGGAGAACTGAGGCAACAGTAATGAGACACATTGGTTCTGCCAGGCTCAATACCACTCCCAAGACTCTGCATCTGTGTCCAGGCTGCTTTACAATCCCTTTTTTAAGGGTGAAGCATGAATGTGCTTTATAGCCTGCCTCTGGCAGCTGCACCACACTGTAATAAAACTCAGATGCACAGAATGCAAAGGCTGTCGCCTGTGATATGATCTAGCCAGGTCTCAGCTGTAGATAAGCAGGTAACCAGCACCATAAAGCAACCTGTGGAAACCACTTTGCCATCTGCTTAAATAGAGGCTGGTTAGACTGGTTAAACAGGTGCCCACTTGGCAATCCAAACAGTGAAGGAAGAAAAATAATTTTACAACAGAAACATAGAGCAATCAAGCACAGTTTATTTTTCAGAGCCAACTCCATGTTGCCAGTTCCAACACACAGCTTCTAAGAATACTAAGCGTAAGTTATATTTCCTATCCAATAAGATAAAAATGGAGTAAGTATGGGCCTGGGACAGAGACCTACACTAGCTATTTTGGGGTGTTTGTGATGGTGCTAGTAGGATGTAACAGGAGAGAATGTTGATTACTGGCAAATAGCAAAGCATCAGTACACCCTGTCCCAAACACCCTGTTTCAGTGCTGGAGCAGCATCAATCAGTCTTTTTAAGACTCTGGCACAAACTGATTATGTAACAGAGACAGCTATTGTGCTGCTTTCAGCAGTCTAACAAACTACCTAAGACACAAATCTAAGAAGGAAACAAACAACATTTCTATGATTTCTTGCAGTTCAAGTTCAGTGGGAAGAAGAAACCAGATAAGATTGTGCTCTATGTTTTATTTGCTAATATTCTAATTCTTTTTTTCACACAATCCATTTTACAAAATAAAAGAAGTCTAATTCTGAAGTTATGTATATCCTGTCTGATTGCAGAGCTTTTTTTGTGGATGGTAAAAGTTGCCGCAAAGTGATTCGGAGAAGAAGGATTTCACCCTTACATAGTGAAATTTTAAATTCACGTTTGGTCTTTTGTGAAGTTCAATTATTTTAAGAGCAGACCAATTCCAATACAAAAATGTATTTCACACCCAAGAATCTGTACGTGATGTATTAATCACTTACGCATAAATAGATTAGTCACATTTCTTATTTCCTGTCAATTACTCAACCTAAAAAAGCTAAAAAGTAGTTTGAAGAGAAGAAGGAAACAGAAGTAGGCCACTGTATTTTCTTACAGGTAATTTATCCAGAAAACAAATTATTTAGTAAAGTAACTTTATCTTTTCATAGTTTCAATTTTATACAATTACAAAGAATAGTATAAATTGGAATGAACAAGGCCAACATTTCAAAATAAAATCTAGAGGTGAAGTATGAGTGTTAAGCAATTACAGCAGCACAACATCCAGGGCAGACTTTCAACCTTTATGAAAAAAGGTATTAAAGACAAACAAAAAACAAAACAAAACAAAACAAAAAAGCACAACATGCCAAGTAGATTCAGACACAAGTCTTTTGGCAGACTAGTAAGAGTGATCTCTTTGCTCTTTAGATTCTTCTCTAAGGTTGATTATTACGTCAACTGAATATTCACAAGGGAATTGATTTAAAAAATAAAACAGACTATCCTTGAATTTGAGGGCTATGCTTTCTCTGTGCATCCTCTGAAAATGACAGCATCTGCATATGTAGCAAGTCTGCTGTTCAAATGTCAAAAATGAAAAGAAGACCTCAACCTAAAAATGCAGGTTTAACAAAGACTTCAGCCTCTGTTACTAGTCTTGGGAATGCACAAACTGAGCTCACACTGGAACTCTCCAGGTCATATGGCTGTTTTCTACTAAAAGAAGAGAGATGAAATTAACTCTCATTCTGCTTGTGTTACATTTACCACAGTATGATACTTGTTTTACTGCTAAAACTGGTGAATCTAAATTTTGACTAGGTAGCTGAAGAAAAGGTGTATCTTTTTTCTTTGCTTAAGATAAACAAACAAACAAAAAACTCAAATGTACAAATCAACCCCCTACTGATTTAACAGAATAAATTTTGATGTTTACTTCTATAGTGGGATGCTAATGTCAAGGAGAAAAGGCAGGTCAGATATTACAGTGATAAGGTTTACACAAAACTACAGATAATCTGTCCCATGTAAGAATTTACTTTGAAGAGTAAAATAGTATTGGGTGTCAGTGATTCGCAGTTCTTATGCAGAGAGTCCAAAGAGTAAGAACTCTTCTCTTGTGATTAAACCTGAGCACTTAGAGTAGTGGTCAAGATAAGCAAATTCATAGAGTAGCTGCTCTCACAGTTAATAGAGCAAAGAAATAGAAAGGAAATTTAGCAAATTTTAAAGACCATTCGGTACCAATGCAGGTACTTTTTGCTGCTTTTTGCAAAAGATATTTATAAAATGTAGACACACATTGGTACATTGCCTGGGCTGCTTTTTCCTGCTATCCCAGTGTTTTGCTGATATATGTATTGTGCTCAGATCACAATGCAATAGATGCGGGATCAAGACATGATGTCATCAACAGTTGGTATTTGTTGAAGCAGTGTTATGAGTAAAATAATTAGTTTTTCATCAGCAGCTAGAGCACTCTAGTCCACAAATCTCAGTCATCTATTACATATTTTACAGCTGAGGAGAATTCTATCTAAATATCCAGAAGAACTTCCCAACAGAAACAAAACACTCCACAAATTTTTCTACTAAAATCAGTGTTGGTTCTGTCCTTATGATTCTAACTGTAATTTATACAGTTGAGCAGAAAATGGTTTGGCTTTATGAGAAATTTCAAAACAATAGTCACAGACTTCTCTTTGAGGATCCTGTACACATCTTATTAGGCTGCCATACATGAATGAGATAGTAACAGGGCAGAGCTCAAGTAGGGTGTGAACTGTATATTTCAAACATGCATATTCCACTGAGTATATTGTACTAATAATGGCATGAAACACCTATGCATATTCCAGCTAGAAAACTGAAGGAGTCATTTGTTGATTTCACTATTACAAGAGAGAGAGAGAAAAAAAAAAGTTACCTATTGCATTTTCATAAATGCATTTTACCTTGTCTTTGGAGCATGAATTTTCCAAAGTCTTTTCCATGTATATCACCTTGATAGGTAAAAACACCTCTTTCAAGTCCTGATGACACCTAAATATGTGGAAGCAAACATAGAAAAAAATTCTGGAACAGATAAATATCAAAATGTAGCCTTTTAATTTGTAATCTGACTTAAAATAAGTATAAGAAGTCCATATTTTTTCAGTTTTATTAGCATATTCATTTAAAGATCCACTGTCCTTTAAAATATTTTCCATGGAAAGCATCATAAGCCAAAAAGGAATACTGCAAGGAATGAAATGACTCCCCTTTTCTTTAAGAGGAAATGAAAAATTAGAATCAACACTTGATAAATATTGAGCAAATAAAAAAAAATCACATCGATGCAAATTCCAAGTTAAATCAATATTCTATTAAGGTCTTTACATTTTCTTTTATGTTGAAAAAGGTAAATGTATGAGATTTACTGAAAATGTCCTATCTATATTATTTCTCAACATAGGAAAACTATTGTATCAAATATGCTATCCTTTATCCTCACTCTATAAAAACTATTCTTTTAAATTTATAATTTTATTTCAGTGAACTATTGACCAAAAGAGGACAATATTTCTAAAACTGAAATCCCCACCCATGTCTAACAAAGCAAGTGAAAAGCATGGGAAAAAAACTTGAACCACTTAATTTCCTATTTTAGTAAATTAAAAATTCAAATGAGATATGTCACAATGGCATATAAAGGAAAATGTATGCATTTTGAATAATAAAATTATTGTGATCTCTACACTGATAATCGATTGCTGCTTTCTGCATCTGTAATATAAAATGTTGGCTGTATAGATGCAATCACAGCTTTCTTTAAGCTTTAAACTGAGCAGGCCTTATCGATAGAAGTGTGATTACTTACATAACCATCTAGCGCCCACTTGTCATTTTCAAACTTGCTTACAAAAATGTCACTAGGTCCTTTTATCTGAAAAACTTTCAAGAGTAAATGGGCTTCTTCTTTCTTGTAAACACCTATTAATAAAAGGGGAGTAACATATACCTTTTAAACATTTTTTGAAACAGGATTTCTAATACTCTTTCAGAGCCCAAGTATATTTATTTTGAATTATCCAAATATATTGTGGAAAATACTCTGCACTAAAAGAATGTTATAACCTGGATAAAGCAGTATTTTGTAATCCTATAAAACATGATTTTATTTTACTCCTCTTTTGCCCACATTTCTCCTGAGTTTAATTTTAAATGAAAGTAGGCAATATATTAGTCTTTTCACGCACTATGTTAGTAAGTGAATAAAGACAGAATTCCTTGCCTGATACAATAAGACTGCCAATTTGAATTGTCTAAATATGGATTTTATTCACAACAGTATATTGCTACAGTAAACACCAAATGGCACTGTGAAAGAAAGTTTGCTATTTAGCAAATGGCTACTGAAATCTCTCTTTACTCCTGACTTACTTACTCTTTTGTACTTCTAAAGGTTTTGCAAGCTGCTAATGCTCATTTCAAATGTAAACGTGATCAGAATGTTAGATCTGAACATCACATTCAGTTTTACAGAAAAGCACGTGTTAATCTTTATTGAATAATGGAGCTTTTCAACATTACAGTTCTTAAATGCTGTACACACTCCACCTATCAATTGAAAACTACCTATGAGTTCATCATATCAATACTACCCAACATCTTTGTTTAAAAAATAAACAAACAAACAGAAAAATCCACCTTCATATTTATTTGAAATGTAAAGGGAAAAAAAATCGGTAACCACATATACATTGACTGAATCCATTACAATCAGCAACACTTGTGCAAAAAAATGCTGAAAAGATTTTTAATGAACACATAAAGTTTTGGTTTCATTTTGCATTCAGCAGAAAATGCAACAAAAGTGAACAGACAAAAAAAGAAAATGAGAGTTTTTTGAGCATCTGTTACTGAACCTACCTGACAGTTTGATTTGTATGTTGGATGCTTCAATGAATGTGGCATTCACTTTGCTGCTTGTAGTATTGAACCAATCAACAGTTAGAGTAGCAGGCTGTCTTTTTCCTAAATATTCATAAAACCCCTTCCACAGTGAATTTATAAAAAACACATCTGAAGGAACTAAACAAAAATTGAGCAAAAAATAGAGCAGTAAATAAAGCAGTAAATTACACCACAGTAACTATCTTTCATATCCATGCTCTTCAGTTCTCTGTTGCACATTCAATCTACTGTTTTTAAGTACATTTAGCAGTAAAAAAAATTGCAACAGTAAAGGAAATGTATTTAACAAACTTGCCACACAATTTCCTATATTACACTTGTCCATATGTATTTAACAAACTTGCCACACAATTCCTATGACATAAATCACAACATCATATTGCATGTATGCTTCAGCAATTGTTCCAAACAATACAAGAAATGTTCGGCTCGATTAAAAAAGCCTTAGAATGTGATGAAAAAAGGAAAAGAATATTATAAAGTTGGGGACTCCTTGAAGGAGTGTTTGGTAGTCTCCCTTGTTTAATAAATCTGTTAAAGCAGAACTGTATGTTATACAATCACTGTCATCAAATGTCAAATGGAATTTAGCATAAGATGTTATCAATCTTTTTTGGACTCCACATCTATTTTAGTTAAGCAATACTATTACACTTGTGAATGGTGGAGGTGTTTGAGCAAGGTATATTTTAGCTTTCAAATAAGTGTCTCTTTCTCTGAAATGGCCATTTCCTTTTAAATAATATGAACTAAAAAACTATAAAATAAGACATAAGCTATTTGTGCTATTTGAGTCATTTTCTGGATGTTGCTGGGATTTTTCCTCTCTTCAGAAAAATAAAAATACATACCTATATGTGTTTCATATATTTAAATGTTGTATTTTAAATATTTCACTAAATCACCTACAGAATAAAAGTGCCTCTTATTATTCAACAGTTTCTGTAATATGTGTATGTTATTTAGAAAGAAAAGCAGAGGAGAAAAAAAAGGGCTAATTTTCACTTTATTTTAGATACATTTATTAACTCCTAACTATCGCTATATCTCATATGAGGGTCCCAAGAGGAACAAACCCTCCTCCTATGTAGATGATACCCAGTGGTTCCTGCCGGCTTCTGACAAGTGAAAATAGACATCTTTCCATGTAGCATATGACAATTTGAAAATTTAGAAAATCAAAATATAATTCTATTCAAAGAATTGTTGAACCAGTCATATGGTATCTTGAAAAAAATGACACAGAAAAGTAGTATTTCATACTCTTCTAAATAAGCTTTAACAATTAATTTTGATTTTGATTAATGAATGTCTTTAGTCTATACTAATCCCAGTTAACAAGTTAGTCTTTCAGATCTCTAGTATTAAGTTTAGGTGTAAAATCTTTGTCATGCAATGATTTTTGCTTTGGAAAGGAAGGACTTGTAATTCTGTGGAGCTGAGAGTATGTCTGTAGTTCTCAAAGTCATACACCAGGTCTGCAAACATTTGGATGGCAGTGCAGGACTCATATCTGAGGTAGTAGAGATAATGTACTGACGAAGTTTTCAAATCATGTAACACTGAGCTTGAACATTTGCTTTTGTTTTTTCGGTATTTGTCTTTACTTTTCATGAAAAATGTGTGTCTGATTTTCCTATGAATGTGAAAGATTAGTACTACTGACCTAGGCCTGTTAGGTTTATTGCTGATTGATACTAAATAAGATTTTTATCAAGAATTGGACATCATACTTCTATTATCGCTTTCAGTATCTTTAACTTTTACCTTATCTGATGCTTTGACCACCAATTATAACTTGTCACTGTAGGCAGAATACAATCACTGGCTTAGTATTTACAGAATTTACATCTACTGCATATGGCCAGATCAGTAGAAGAAACGAGTTTTTCTACTGCCCAATCATGGTTTTGAGAAGGTTAAGTGCTGCCCACCCATGGAGGGTGCTGATGAATCACTGAATAGCTCTGATCCAAATCCTCACAGCCTTTAAGATGTCTGTTTTTAGCAGAAACTGTGGACAAATGCAGGAGGAGAAAAGTGAATTGGGAATTATTACACCAGTGGTGCACTGCTTGCTCACTCTCTCCAAAATGCTAGAAATGGGAAATTCATGGCTCTTACTTGAAACAGCTTCCTAACTTATATGAAAGACTATACAAAACAAGGAGAACCACCGGAATCAAAGACAGAATTGCAATTCTTAAACTTTATGTATACCATGAACATCCATTGTTTGTAACTTATGCACTATTAAAATTTAAAGTTTATTTAAAAATATAGTTATAATTGCTTATATAAACAATAAGTGTGGCAAGAACTATCCACTTAATTAACAATAAAGAATATCATTTGGATTCAGATACCCAAACATGGAAAGTCATAACATTATTCTGTTACACAGGCTCCAGTTCGGAAATGTTAGCTTTAAGACATTTAAAATACACATATCAGCAAACGGTGTTCTACCAAAAGCCCAAAAACAGGATAAAGAAAATGCTCTGATGTAATTTCTTTACTTAAGATAGTTCACAAGTTGAAAAACTGTAACAATAATGTAGATCGGCTCTTAAAACTTTTCCTTAAGCTTAAAACTTATCCTTTTAATTACTGTAGTTTATTAGTTTCACTTCTCTGCTTAACATCATAGGCATGTATAGTCATAATATTTCATTTTTATAAGATACCTTTCAAATAGCCCTATTAAAACTGGTCATAAAAGACATCATATAATGTGAATTGGTACCAATACTCTCATAGTGCATGCATTTGAATACTTGGTCAATATTTCAATTTGGCACAGAAACTTTAAAAACCATGCGGTATCAGATTACTGCATGCCTCAGCTGCGTAGTAAGGACAAGACTCCATTAAGTGAAGACTGTATTATTAATTACGATGAATGCACATTATGTTTTGCATTTTTATGTGTCTGTAAAAGTGATGCATTTGAAAAGATCTCATTTACGGAATCACCTGACTGACAATCTTACCAACAGCCTCACCCAGTAGGTTAATTATGAACACACATGTCTTTTTATCACATGTATTCTACACAGCCTTTCTGTGAACTGCCATTAGTGTTAAGTATTCATCTTATTTTCCCTGAACTCCGCCAAAATTTAGGATTTTGAGTTGCAGGTTCATTTATGTGGTAAAACCTCTGTAGTTAAGAATGTCAGTTAAAAAAAAATAGGCCTTTCATATTTTGAAAGTGATTGAATATAAAAAGATTTACACAAAGGAGTTCTCAAATGTATTTGCTCTTTTATCACTAGCAGAAGGAAAAGATTAATTCTTAATATGCTCATGAAGGGGCATACAAATGTGGCAACAATATTTGCCTGCTACTGGTGGTCAACAGAGTTGGGAAATCCCACCTGAGAGCACCTTGAGAACTGCTTTGGAATGAAGGCCAGCCAAAGTGCTAATACTGACTTTTTCTGTGTGATAGTCTACACTGATTATAAGGCTCTCCATTATAGCAATATCTCTGATATAAAACTACTTCCGATCTGCTTCTTGTCCTCATGTGCTTTAGTCTTTTAGCTTTGTATATTTTTTGGTGCAATTTACAAAATTGATATTGTAGAAATTACTATAGACAGATGCTCTTTGGGAAAGCATTTCAGAGAATAGCTTTTACATGGTACTTGTCAAATGAATACTCTGAACATTTCTATTTCTTGAAATGAGTAATGAAATATTATAAGTAAAATATTAAAAATAGTTTTATCATCCATAACAATCTTGGATGTAAATCATTTTAATTTATTTAGTTCTAAAACTCTTCTTGTATACAAACCTGGAGTTTTAGTTATTGTTTCATTAACTTCTCTCACTCCTTTACCTACAAGTAAAAAGACAAATTATCATTTTCATGAACATTTTTTTTAATAGAACGCTAAAACAGTGCCTGATTGATGCAATTATCCCTTATTTAACAGAGCTATATTTAAAACAGAAATAACTGAAGTCTTGGAATACATGTTCAGACCTAAACACTTAAAAAAAAAATCAGAAAATAATTTAGGAAAACAACATTTTTACTTAGAACTAAAAATTTTTATATCAGTCCCAGTGCTATAAAAGAGAGCCTTATAGAGGGGACAAATACTAGGTCTAATTATGTATAATACTATATTAAATTTAACAAAACATAATAAAGATTGATAAATTTATGACACAAACCAGCAAACACCAGATAGCTGAATTATGATGACATATACTTCTGGCATGGTCAGCAGAGTAATATCCATTAATCCCAGCTCAAGTTTGGTCATGTATTGATAGCTATTTTAAATATACTCATGCCTGATAGTCAGATGCTCACATTTTTTTTTCTTTATGAGTAGATATCGACTGATTACACTGATCAAGTGTTAAAAAAGTACAAAAAGCGTGAGCACAAGAAGAATTCTATATAAAGAATGTAAATCAATAGAAAACAATTTCTTTGTTCAATTATATGAGAACAGTAGGATTTTTTTTCTGCATTTTATCTTAAAAAAATGAACAAAAACACATACAAGATAATTTATCTCAATTTATTAATTATATATTACCAATGTAAAATCACCATTTGGGGAACTAGTGTAAGAAGAAAAAGCTCTATTCATAGGTAATACTTCTTGTCAATATTAAAGTTGCCTACCCACTATTTTTAGAAAAAATGAAAACCTGTTCATGCCTCAAATGGATTTTCAGTACTTTCACATATTAAAATTAAACATTATGTTGCAAGTGTCTTACCCACAACATCTAACTGTTTTCCCCTTACTTATATTTCAAACATGAACTTCTAAAATTTTCTGGATAAGGAAACTTATAGCCATATTTACTCACATATAAGTGCTGACTTAGCATCCCTAACTATATTCTCAGAGTTTCTCTAACAAAATTACAAAAAATTTACAAGGGTGTAAAGGAAAGCGCAAAGATTTAATTTAATTTTTTGAGGTTTTCGTTGGTATTTATTTTAAAAGAAACTTCCCTCAGACAAAAAGTATTCAATGTGTAAAGCATGCTTGAATGAATCTAAAAACCTGCTTCTCCAAAAATAATCTGTTGTTCTTGTTCCTAATTCAAAATCTTATATTAAACATTAAGCACACCGAGCACTTTCAAATGCTCTTTGAAACTGATAAGGAAAATGTAGTTAAAATTCTATATCCTACATATTTTCTAGTATTTAGTTCATGCATTATATACTTTATATCATTTAGTTTTTCTCTGGTGGTGTTATGGATTAAGATATGTATGTACACCCGAACATTTATTCATACATACCCCCATGTTTTTCTCAGTCAGCTCCAGGTATCATGTTCGCTTGGATTTTTTTTTACTGTTTCTTTCAAATTGTAAAAGCTACTGTGTCATATGCATTTTTAAACAGTAATTGGGCAAATTCAATCATATTATACAAAATAAAAATGTAAAGGAAAATGATCATCCAAGCAAGTACGGCACAACATACCACATGAGCAATGACTTACTTTTACAAACAGGTGATTTTCCTGTCCATTTCATATCTGGTTTACAAGTCCGATGCTCTGATCCACCAGCAAGAAAAAATCCTGGCTGACAGGTATACACCAAAGTATACCCTAAAGTAGGAAGATCAATTGCTTTCACATCAACATGTGCTGGAGTTTCTGGCTGCCTGCAAGCATGAGCTGCAAACATGTTTTTTTAGAGTTAGAAATAATGATGACAGTTTTTCACATCGATTAGTGCATGTAATTTAAAATAAATGCACATCAAAACATCCCTTTTCATTAGGCAAACTTCGTATGCCTTTAGAAATGACAAATTGCTTGCATTAATAAGAAGCAATTATACTCTGTGTGGATGGTTTTATTATCATAGGAAGATGGAAATGATACAGCAATGTATTTTTTAACAATACACTAAAATTGAATCATATTAGCAAGGCAAAAAAAGAGTTAAAAAGAAAGGAGGCCAAGACCCATGACCATGAATTATCCTACTGTTTTAGCTTCAATTGTCACTTCCACTCAAAATTTTAAAAAACTTGAAAATTACATAATGATTGCCAAATAAATTCCGTATAAATTTCAAATGAAATAGAGGTTCCACGGGAAGATTTGTCATAGTACATTGATTATAACAGATAATTTTGCTCAATATGCTTCTTGATTTGTGCTTCATGGTATTCATCCAAAACAAAACAAATACTAAATAGGATAAGAATATAAGGTCACTCTAATGGCTTTCTTCTAACTTGTATCAGTATATTTTCACAGTGTTTATTTGATTTTCTCCAACTAATACACAGATATAAATATACGATTCACTTATATAACCATGCAGTGGCTAGAAATGCAGAGTTCAAGTTTCACTCACAAAATGCTAGTCAAAAAAATACCCCCATGCATTATGAATTACACTTTCTGCTATTAATCTAATACACACACAGATAAACTAGATTAACTTCAGGCAACAAATGTAGTGGGATTGGTGAGGACTGACAGTTATTCAGCAAAACTGACAGAATTACGATCCCCACAAAATATAATATAAAAAAAAATCAAAGTAGATAGTCCTAAATATATCTCCGTTCTTAGAAAAGGAAACAAAGAAATTATATGGCATATTGTTTTTAAGTAAACTTGACTTTTTGTGACATGTTAGTAGGAACTTCCACATGAATCGACTTACACTCCCAAAATTGCACAGCATACAAAGTATTTGAACACGAAAGCCACACTTACGAATACACTCTGACTGTATGCCACTCCAGGTTAGGTTAGCAAGGCAAGAACGGGTAGTAGATCCCTGAATATGATAACCTTTTCTGCATCTGAAAAAGACTGTGCTCCCAACCTAGGGATCAAAATGGAATATTAGATGAAATAACTACCACATGTAGCCAGATATCAATATAGTGACAAGCTACTAGAGAGATTTTTCAAAAATAAAAATGACTTCTGTTAACAGGTCACAGAACTAAACATTTTTTATGACATGAAAAAAATGGAGTAGCTGATCCTTCATAATTTTATTCAATAGCTGCAGGTAGAAAAACTCACACCTGCGAACATGGAAAAGAATGACACCCATGATTTTCAACTCATTAGTTTGTCAGAGTAACAGAAGCAACCAAATGACAGGTATATCTGTTTGTTGTACGCTGTTCCACATTCTTCAGTAGGATTTAACCATGACATTTATTTTAAATCTTTTTTTTTTTATATTGCATGTCTTTAGTACAGCTATTTTTAAGAAAAAAAGGGAAAAAGAAAAGGCTATAAAGAATAATTGCATTCTCAACTGAATTCAATAGTGAATAATTCAGGGCACGATTTTTGCATTTCCTTTGTTACTACAAACTACATAAGTTTTACTTGAGATGTTCAACTTGCAGACTGATGATACGGAAAGCCTTACTATGGTCAATTGTGATATGCCTTTTCTTCTGGTGAGTGCAACACTGCAAAATACGACTTTTTTTAGAAGAAAAGGAACAAGTAAATAAGCCCTCTTTCTTTAGAAACAAAAGCAAGTTCTCTCCACTGAGAAACAAAAAGCATGAATTTTGGATAAAAATGTGATGAAGTAACAGTTTACATAATATAAGAGAAAGAAGATTGTGTGAAAAGTTCTAGTAAAATGTACTTATTGATGGTACTGAAAAAAAGTATCCAGAACAGTCCAGACCAGGATACTTGAGAATGTGGAGATGACCACAGACAAATTGTTTTGTTTTTGGATAAAACAATTTGGCAATAGACATGATCAGGTAAAATTAAAGAATAAAAAAAAAAGAGGAAGAGAGAAGTAAATATTGTAAATATTGTTTGGAATTACTCAATTTATTAAGTAACATATCACTTGGAAAATTGCAAATAAGCATGTTGCTAGTGAACAGTAATCACCGAATACTAATAAAATACTTCACAGGAACAAAAATCCCTGAGAAGTTATATAATAGTGTACTTATAGGTAGTTATATAATGGAAAATTAATGGGGAAATTGAAATGGACATTAAAAAATACCTAACGGGTGCAATACAATAAGAAGAGAAGTGAGTCAAAGGGCAGTACTTTCAAAAGTGGCCACATAAGTTAAATATATACTTAGTTACCCAAAAAAAAAGGTTATGGTGATATATGTCCAACAAATGTAGCTCCAGTTCTACCTGAAATGGCTTGGGAAATCCACTGCTATTTGTAAATGTCAAATTACTGAAATGGTACAGGCACTGATATTGTAACTATTTTTAAGCATTTTCATCTTTCTGTCTTTCCAAGGACACACGGCATGTCTGTGTCAAAGACCAGAACACAATGTGGCTGGTCTTGACTCTGTCATCTTACTTCTTACAAAATTACCCATACTGTAGTATCTTTAAGTAATGATGAGCTGCAAATATTTCCTTAATGATCCAGAAGGCCATGCAACAATTAAATGACTGTGTGGATGGTAGTTCTCTTTCTAGAGGAAAAAAGTAATAATAATAGCAGTGCACTTTTTGTATTATTTTTGTATTATTTTTGTGTTTTGGGGAAACACGGGCGGCATCTGTAATAGTTACAGAGCAGTGAAGCACAACAGCCAAAAAATGAACAAGTGCAAGACAGAAGTGATGCTGGTAGATAGAAGAAAATCCTTCAAAGGTGTCCTTCCTGTCATTACATGTTTCTGTGATGAGGAAAAACTGTTAAAAGGTGGTTTATAGAAGTTTGTATAAGAAGTCATACATCTGGGAGCCCCAATAGTCGTATGTGCTAAAAAACCTACTTTACTAATAAGTAGACAGAAGTCAACATCTTGTGCCAGATTCTGATCTGACTCTAATATTGCATACATACTTCTATCCTTAGTTATTATTATTTATGTTTAGGCATGAAAGCACATACTTAAGAAAGCCAAAGTGCAGAACAAAGAATTTTACTGCCTCCAAAAGTGATTGAAAACTGAAATTTAGTCTCTGTATTCAGAATCGGAACTGGAGCAATACAACTCTGATCTAAATATTAAAGTCAACTTATGAAGCAGGTTAAGCTGGGAAGGCAGAAACATTCTGGATCAAGTTAGGAATTAGAGAGAAGATTAGAATTTTATTTTAAGAGAAAATGGGGACAGATATAGGCTTAAGATGAGAAAACAGATGCGCCTATTGCTGGAAAGAAAACCACCTCATATGTGAGGCCACAAGATGTGGCTGAGGTGAAAGTGCCTGGGAACCTTGGGAACCTGAAAGCTGGGTAGAAGTTCAAGGTGAAGAAAGGAGCTGCCAATCACACCTAAGTTGGAGAGCACAATTCTAGGAGAAGCACTGCGTCAAAAAGCAGAAGAATTTACAAAAAGTTTTATTTTATTTTATTTTACTTTATTTTATTTTATTTTATTTTATTTTAGTTCTACTGAACTTAACTGTAATATCATATGGCATACTAGGTTCAGAGATAGGAAGGAGACTCAGGGTGATCACCTGAATATTTATACCCAAAGAATCTAACTACAAGAGGTTAATCAATCTAAACAAAGACTAAGGATTGATCAGTGTTGTATGTATTTTTTTCCTCAGTCATTATGAATGTCAGTTAATAAAAATATCCTGTAGGGAATTCAGAAATTAAAATACAGACATTCATCATAGAGTACCTGGATCCAACAGATAGAATAATTTTATCTTCTTGACCATGCAAAAAAAACATAAATATTAACTGCTAATTTAGCTACTTGAAGGACTAAATGGCCTCTGGATCAGACAGGTCTTGGGATGTTAGGCATTTACTGATCATTCATCAAGTATGAAAGAATTATGGTCATAAAACAAAGTAATTACATCATGTCATATCATATTGTGTAATCAATTTATAAATAGTCCTCTCTATTGAACTCTCCTAAAAAAATGAATACATGATGTATTACAAGGTTAGAAACTTGTTCTTTAACCTCTACGTTAAAAAATAACTCAGAATAAAGCCTGATTTTTTATTAAAAAGAAGTGGAAATTTACTAAGGTTTACAATAGATTTCTTAGCCTACAGGTAATTTAATGTATTTATAATGATTAAATAGATCTTCATTTTAGAAAACTGACAAATAAATGAATTACCTCATAACCTCTGGAACTGTTTTGTATTCCAAAATGTGGAGTACCAGGGTCTGTACATGTATTGTGAGCTGGATCTAATGTAAAATGCAAAACATAAAAGATATTATTGTATGGAAAGAATAATCTAAAAATGTTTTCAAAGGTTAAGTCATTTCATCAATGTCTAGTTATTACAAGACTTGCAGTATTCATGGAATGTACATATTGCTATAAAATACTATTCCAGATTAAATTTCAAAGATAAATTACAGTACTTTGTTTCAGTACACTGATATTATTTAAATTCCATTTCTTCAGATATCTCTGGCACTGTAGACTTCATAATTAGGTTTGTATTCATTATTTCTAAGCTTATCCCTTGAAAGCTTTTTGAAAACATAACGTATCCATCCTCTTGAAGTACTATTCACAGTGTGGGTGGCACATACAGAGCAAACACTTCTGCACATAGGAGTTGCAGTCCAGTATTTCTAATAATCTGATTATGTTACATACTAAGCCTACCACTTGCATGTCAATCAATAAGAAGCTGACAGTACTCAGCTGTTTACTGAAATCTCAAAAGATCAGACTCAACACACTTCATCCTTTTGAGCCGTTCAAGCTGCTTTTGCAAGGTCCATAGAGCTTTTTGATTTAGGATTGATTCTAACAAATGTATTTACCTCTTCAGTGATAGAATACGGGTTTAAATTTACTAGAAAGTCTTCTGTGTATCTAATGATTCCAAAAATAAAGGAAACAAATTTATGCATTTGCACTTGCTGACATTCTGCATTTCCTGCAGACAAGCAATCATGTAAATATACAAATGACTTCATATGTGACTGTGTTTATTCTAAAATTTTTATACTCAAAATATAACCTATTTATCTAGTTCTTTTTACACTACACAGAAGTTTTCTATATTTATGATAGTGTAATAGTTTATCAAGAATATTCTCAAGAAAAACAGCATAAGTAATTATTACCAATGCATGTTGGCTGAATTCCACTCCATGTACCATCTGCTTGACAGAATCTTCTTGAAGAGCCTATCAGAATAAAAGGGGGTCTACACTGAAAGCTAACTTCAGATCTATAGGTGAAACTTTTTCCATTAAGTCGTCCTTCCGCTGGAGTACCAGGATCACCACAAAACACAGCTGATACATAAATTAAAAAAAAAAAAAGGAAAGAAAGGAATTATTAAAAACTGAACATCAACAAATGTTCAAAAGCCTTCTCCATTGTTCTAGCTGCAAGTCAGACATACTGAGTGCAAATGTCATCTTATAAATGTTCATTCATCTCTGTAGGGTTATAGTGCAAATGAATTCTTTCTAACAGATTAAAATTTATTGTGATTGTTAGAACAGGCATAAAACTTAACCTGAAAAAAAACCCTAGCCTTTTTAATTGAAGCACTAAAATGCTGATAAGATTTGTCTTTCAGAGTAGACGATGTTAGAATGTAATGCTTCAAAATGTATTCACTTGTCAGAGCAGTTGCCCGCAGGTGAGTAGGCTGGAAATTTTGGCCCTTGTTAAGGAAAAGGAAAAATTTTTATCAGATTCCTGACAAGACTTCAGACACTGAAGGAGAAAAATTGACAGTTTTAGAAGATTAAAATTAAATGCAAATTAAATACAAGCAAAATATGAGGGCGTATACTTGCCTTCAGAAAAGAAAAAAGGATTAACAAAACAGAGGAAGGCTATGAGATTAAGCATTAGGATTCTTATTTCCACCTGTTAATGGAAATGAAAATGGAGGAAAGAAATGGAAAGTTTAAGGGAAAAATTTTAATGATGTTCACCACATGTCAAAGTCAGAACACTAAACAAAATTGTCAGTAAGACAAACGGTGTTGGATCCAATTGGTTAATAAAAGATGGAGGTGACTTTTGGAGAAACCTATGACCTGGAATGGGTAGAACCACTCAATTGCATAGCAAAGCATGCTTTATGGAAGAAGGAAAGAGGACATTCCAGTAGTCCATATATTACCTGATCCAGACAAGCTCTTTTTAAACCACAAGAAAGAAACTGACTGTAGCCTGAGATGATTTAGTGAAGCCCATCATAATTGTACCAAGAAAACTTACGCAAACATTGCGGGATGTCTCCCCGCCATATTCCTCGGCCCTCACAGGAGAGAATGGCTGTGTTAGACAGCTGATAGCCTTCTGCACAGCTGTAGCTCACACTGGCACCCCAGTGATAATCGGATCCTTCCACTTTCCCATAGAGTACTGGTGGAGGGGGGCCACAGGTGATAGCTGGTCACAAAAAGAAAAGTTAGAATTTCAAGATTTTATAGAATGTAAGAGAATGCATATCTAGTCATGATTTTGTAAGCAAAATCATGCATATTTTATGCTCTTCTACAATAATAAAACATCCTATATTGACAGAAGAGCTGATAATAATCAGAAAAACAATTTAAATACAAAACACATCACTTCTAGAGTTAAGAGTTCATGGGCTCTAAGCCAGTGGAAACCAGAAGAATATACATGTCATTTGGTTCTTAATCCCTTTCTTACATATTCATTATTGATCATTGTTCTCAACAAGCTATTGAGCGAGGTAGAAGTATTGTTCATATATTTGCAATAAATACTTGCGTTTTAAATTAATTGTGCAGCTTTATTTAAAATCCTTAATAGCTACTTTCACATTTTTGAAGGTTTTATCACACAATGGACATTGACTTTGCTAGCAATTATGTGGATGACTTTTTACAATCCTTTGACACAATATGAGTTTGATGGATCTATGATGTTTTCCAGCTTCTGAAGGGCTGCCTAAAATTATGAAACCTGGAATGATCAAGCTTACATTTACATATTGATTCTTTCAACAAAGAATGGAAATATGGAATGATTCAGTGAATTCTGCGATATAAAATGCGGTTATTCAACTATATAGATCAAATTTAATTAGTAGGCTAGACTTACACAACACCTTAAAACAATCTAAGACTTTTATATGAAGAAGGTGCCCTTGGCTGTTAAATTTACTACCATAGTTGCTGAAGCATTGCTCAGAATTTTCACCAGGCTAACTTCTCTCTGTGACCTATATGTTAGAGCTTGTAATTAGGTATTTGTGAAACATCTTTATGGTTATTGATGAATGACTAAAATATTTCATTAAGTGAATCCTCTTTTAAGGAAAATTTAGTTAGCAGGATCCCTTTAGAGAATTTTGAACTTTTAATCTGAGACAAAAGAGTCTAAAAAGGAAAATTAATATTTCATTCTTAGCATTTTTAATTAGTGCTCTGATAATTGTATTGCAAACTGGTTTGGTTCTCGTACAGTCATTAATATTAGTATTCTAACTGGCTTTATATCACATCATATGTACAACATAATAAAAATTTAACATAAATACTTATGCAGATGTTTTAGTTATATCTGCATGTAAATTATCCCTGAGGATACTTTGTCAATTTTTCTCTTTTATAAATAAAAACAGTTATTAGTAAAGTCCACAGAACAATATTTCTGAACTTTTTAAGTTCAAAAGCAAACCTTTGCAAATTGGTTTACTCTGGTTCCAAGTACTATCTTTTATGCAAAGCATGGTAGATGAACCAGCAGGCTCCATCAAGTATCCTGGATTGCACTGATAGCTGACTGTCTTGTTAAAGGTGAAATCATTTCCAAACTGAATGCCATTTGCTAATGCACCTGGATCTCCACAGCTGATCACTAATGTAGAAAAGAAAAAAAAATTCAATAACCATATAATCAGACATTGAAAGAGCAAACATACAATCATATGTAGGTAATGTCTCTTTATTAGTACACAAAGCAGTTGCAATATTAACTAATGTATTTCACAAAAATTACAAAAAATATTTTTTCAAGCTAAAAAAACCCTTATAGTTATGCTATCATTTAGACATAGCATTTTTGTTGGTTTTTTTCCTCCTTCCATACTAGAACTTTCGTCATTTATGTCAAATGTTGATTGCATACTGAAATTCCAATTGAGTTAAGAAATTCGTTTGTTTGTATTAGTGTCACTGAGCTCAGAATCTGTTTTCTAATTCTAATGTTTAACAGAGAAGCTTTTTCTTGCTTAGTCCTGGAAAGAAGACCTTATTTTCAGGCAGACTTTCTTTTCAGCAGAATGAAGTCAGGTGTTATTTATCTGATATCACTTCTCCCAACAAATGGTAGGTAGCTTTTCTAAAATGTTTTAGTATTACTACTCTGTATTTCTTTGAGTAACCCCCTTGTTGGGGCCCTTCTTTGCTGTCACTTTCTCCCCTTCTTCCCCTTCAAGGATTTGGCTGCCAGGTCTCAGGCCAGCTCTGCTGTGGTATTATGGTCTGGTAATATGGAAGTCTCCTGCCAGCCTTGCTACCTCCTTTCACTGCCAGCAACCTTCTCTAGCTGCTCCTTAACACTTGCTCCTTAACAGAATGGCCATAATCTTTACTGATCAGGTTGGACTTACTTAACTTCGAATGCAGACTACTATAGCAATGTATCCAACTAGATAAAATCTGATTTAGAGCTACTAGTATTTCATCATCTATCCATAAGTTACAGGGCTAAAGGAAACATCGGAGAAATACTTGTTCTTAGCAACAATGCACTATTTTTTAACATATGCACTTACGTGGTAAAAAAATACAGAAAAGTTACCAATATATCTCTCTCAAAAAGATATTTCTGTCAACATCTGGTATATATTAGGAAGTGCATATGCCTTTAAGCACATAAAATGTTTATGTATTATAAGAAAATTCTGCATTACAAAAAAGAAGAGAGGGAAATGTTTGTATTTTTTTTAATCAAATCAAATAATGCTTTTCCTTAGAAAGGCTGATCTTCTTACTACTTTAAAGAGTTTGAGGTAGAAAACTATTTCTGACCTGTGCAGTCTGGAGCAGTGCCAGTCCATGTGCCATTGGCAGTACAATGTCGAGTAGTTAAACCTGAAGTTTTGTAACCTTCCCAGCAGGCATAGATGACAGAGCTGGAGAACAATATTCCATCACTGTATGTTATCATACCATTGGCTGGAGTGCCAGGGTTCCCACAAGATACAGCTGCCAAAAAAAAGTTTTTAGGAATCAGTATTTCTCTACAGCAGAACATAAAAATGAAGGTCAATACTTTTTAAAGAAACTACCTTATTAAAAAGTTATAGCAAATATTAAAAGAAAATGTTTAATGGTTGCATTTTTGACTTAATATCTTACTTTGATTAATTAAAGATGGTAAGTATAAAAAATGTTCATTGGTCTCTTTCACAGTATGCATGTTAAGAAGTTGATAAATGACAGTGCACTTGAGTCCACCTAGTATAATCACTGGACAGAAGAAAGTTCATTCAGAACTTCCTGAGATCAGGCCAGCTGTCTGCAAGCACATTTGACAAGTACATTTTCACATTTGCATAACCTCAGTAAACATAATTTTGAGGAAAAAAAAAAGATGGATGCAATTCAAATTAAAAGAATGTCAAATGTACCACATCACTAATTTTGTAGTTAATGGCAGAATTACTCTGAGAGTTATTATAGCATCACAGGAATAGTGACAGATTACAGACATATGCATGCTTTTTTTTTATAAGTGTGTAGATGAATGTGCTTTATATATCACAATATCTCACTGTAGTGAAGATGGATAAAAGTATTTTATGTGGATAATAATTTAGTTCATTTCTTAATGATACAGAGACCATCCTCCAGCCCTGTGACTATACTGCTTACTAGAAACAGTCCCTACCCCATGCTGCCACCTATACCAGTTACACTGCTGGGAGAATCCTGGCCAGTGCAGAACAAAACAGACTTTACATTTTTCAGGTAGAAAAGCACTTCATGCAATCTTTTGCTGATTACTCCATCATCTGGGGTGTTGTCTTGAGTATCTTTTGGTATACTATATACTGAAAGCCAAGGTATCACCTCATGATAGCCATTGAGCTCACAGATTACAGAAGCTCAACTATTTGAATGGTTTGTAACTATTTTGTCTCTGCAAGTATCTCTCTTAAGTTTTCTCTACCATTTTCTTGAAAAAGTGTTGTCTCTTCTCTTGACAGGAGGGAACATTTTACAAAATATTTTAAGATATGCCACTCAGAACTGAATTATAATAGTAGAATCAGCTTGAATATTTGCCCACTTCCTGAAGAGTCCATCAGCTATCAATGCAATAGATTTATCTTGTACGAATATTAAACGTGTACAAAACTGGTAAGATTACAAAAGGAGGGCTGCAAAAATGCCACTACTGACCAGATTGCCAGATCAAAGATTAAAACAATGTAAAGGAGAGACAAAATTAAATGAAATACAGTTGCTTATCCATTACTTCCAGTTCTCATCCACTGACCTAGCACTGAGGAGTGCCTATGAGATGGCCTGAGCCATGAGTCTCTTCTGGATAGAAGTGTAACAGGGAGACACCTGATCTGATGATCTTCAAAGTGATCAAAGAACCTATGCAACATGCAAAAAGTTTATTACAGCTGGTCAGCGCAAAGTCTGAAAGAAGGTGTGCTACAGATTATGAAGGGAAATGCTATTTTCATGCATTTCTGTGCTGATTTCACTGCCAAGTGCTATTTTAGTTCCATTTATACAGATCTGTATGTTTCTATGCATGTTCTAAACATGCAGTCAGTGCCAGTATTGATAGAAATCTAATATCTACTGTTTCTCTTTTTAATAGGGAATTTCTTAAAAATGAAATGTCATTTCTCGAAAATTCTGCAGAATGGAATTAATTTAGTGAATGACTTCTTAGACCTCCTCACACTTTCTTGGTACTCCTATAGTCGAAAATATTTATCATCAGAATTTCTAGTGAAACTGTCATTGATGATTCTATTGACATTGTTGCCAATTTAGGGAATGTCAGAACTAATGTCGAATCATGACGGACATTGAAGTAACTTCTGGCAAGTGGCAGGTTTATAGCTGCCCTTCTTTCTTCCTCCCTTCTGCTTATGAGGAAATAAATATTGACAGGCAGACTTTTGAATGCTCTTGGCTGTTACTTGTTTTCTTTAGGTCTGTGGTGATCTATATCAATTACCTCAGGAGAGGCCACATCAGCCAAACAACTAGACACAAAGAAAGGTATTAACACACTAAGTGTTTACCTAGTGTGTGATTTCCTGACAGGTGGAATAAACATCAACTATGTTTACTGAAAAGCAGAATGAAGACATCTGAGATAAAGTCAGTTTTAAAATCAGTGGGTTTAGTCACCATGTTGTGCTATGGTCCCCATAGTCACAATCCCTTACTCATAGTGTGTAAGGGTGAAAATATGCTCTCCTTGTCTCTCGCGCTCTCTGCATTACTTATGCTACAATTAATGTCCTCATGTAAGGGAGGAATGGACATTGTATAACTTAAATTTTCTACCTCCCATCTTAAATTCTCTCCTCTAAATATTGATCCTGTGCCCACTGCTATTTTCATATAGTCATGGTGGGATCTACACTGACAGAAAGCCAGTCCATGCTGAAGAACGCTTCTAAATGAGAATACTGTGATAACACCCCTAACTGGGAAACAATGTGAATTTGTGAAAAATATCTTGTCCTATCTTCCATTTCTTCATTCAGTGTCAGAGATTACAGATACTACAGGACTTGTCAGCTATGCATCCAAGCCAATGAATGAGATCAACTATCCTTTTGAGTATTCTTGAAAAGAACAAAGCCATTTTAAAACTGGCTCCACAACTTCTCATTACTTCTTTTTACTTCTGATACCGCATAAAAAATTATTAAAAAAAGCTTTATTATATTTTTGCATTTTATTCTTAACTGTGATTTCCAGAAATTTTCCCTATTGCATTTCTTTTGAAGAAGCTAGCATAAAACAGTATCTCTCATAAAGATGAGATCTACAATATGTGAAGAAATGGTCATTCATTTGTTCTTAGTTATGAATACAACATTGATGTATAGATATGAATAGGAAGAGAAAGTAAAAATCTTACTTTTTTAAAAATTTTACATTTAACTTCGGTATGTGCTCTCTACTATCAAACTCATTTATTTAACTGGTATTCTCTCATAATCTACTTCAAAAATATACACTCCAAAATCTTGTAAATTTGGAGTGAGATTTTTAAACAAACCAATAGCTGCTTGTCAATCCCAATGTCATCAGTACCTACCTTCACACACAGGTTGTATACCTGACCAAGAACCATTAAACAGACATGTTCGTTCTGCAGATCCTCTCAGCTGATAACCCATTTCACATGAGAAACGCAGAAGACTTTTTATTTTGAACTCATCCCCAAGTCTAGACCCATGAGCTGGTATGCCCGGATCATCACAATAGCCAGGATTATTTCCTGTAAAGAACAACACAGCAGAATTTTGGCAGAGATATCATGTTTAGCTCTAGTGGCAGTAAGGATTCTTTCTTGCAAATTCTACCAACTGGTTTCTTTTATAATTAATCACTTTTCTTCCAATGAGAGTGAAATCAAAGCCAAAGATAAAAATAACACATCTTTCTTCTTTGTCTACTGCTTATCTCAAGTATAAACAGAGCATAAAATATAGTATAAATTAAAAATAAAACATTACTACTAGCACAGGAGTCACCCCTCATATTTTTTATCAGTTATCTTTTTGGTATAAATAACATTTTCAACACATTGCATTTTACTGCTCAACTCTGCTACCAGTAATAGCTTCCTCAGAAGTTATTCCTCCTAAGAAGTTATTCCTTCTTAGAAAGGTAATACAAATATAGTTCTTGGGAAACTTATATGTAATCCTCTTTACTCTTGCTATATTTTTTTCTATTAGAAGTATACTTGAAATAGATATAGTGAATGTCAAGATTAAACGGTAGCTGGTTCCTTGTGCCTATTAAAAAAGGAAAGGAGTCCTTGCCTTTTCCTTATCCTTTAAACTCCTGTGCAAATGTTGGTTATTGTCTTAGTGGACAGAGGAACTGCTGTAAAAAAAGATGTCTCAAACACACCTGGTAGTTCTGATGACCCAAAGAGTTGCTTTTTCAGGTAAAGCTGCTACAGAAAATGCTACTCGAGATGGCCAAGGAGATATGTTTTCAATATGAATTAAAATACACCCTGCAATTTCTGCATCAGCTCCACCATACAGGCCACAAAACAGAATCCCATTATGGTCCTAAATTAATAATAAAAATATGCAAAGTTATTGCAACAGTCACACTGCGTAACTGTGAAGAATATTTGGTTGTCTCACTTTCGGCAATATATTATAGATTTTGAACATAAAATTGTATCTCAGCTAAATCTCTCAGTATCTAAACTGTAGTTCAAAATAATCCACAGTATATCTTCTATTTTGAAAGTCTTTGCTCTCCATCTTTAAGAATATCTCCAGACTTAATTTCTATTACATCTCCTCTTTATTTTTTCAAAATATGTCTAAATAATTCAATTGGCTGAATTTTATATGTTCTTATATACTTTTTAAAAAAATCATAAACACACTGGTCAAAATCTCAGTAAAAACAATAGCAAAAAAAAAGAATAAATGTAAACAGGTAAAGCAGAACTGTGCTAGTGTTTAAATGTTATTTTGTGATATCTATTCACTGTGGTACGCCATTATAATATCTAGCTGAAGAGCAAGGTTAGCAAAGTAATGAAAAGAAAAAAAAAGAAAAAGGGAAAATGCATTAGAATATTTCAATAAATGGCTGCAAATCAGCTGAATGGCTATTGGTGAAATTAAAATACACCTGGAAAAGAAACAAAACACAGACAGATCCCTCTGGAGTTAAAAATTGCTTGAGAACAGCCTTTCATTTAATTATAAGGTCACACTGAGCTGACAGCTGGTAGAGCTACCTGAACAGTGAGGCAGAGTTCCACTCCAGTGGCTATCTTCTTGGCACTCCCTTGTAGAGTTTCCTATGAGACTTCGACCCGCTGTGCAGGAATAGCGAACTACGGAGCCGTACGTAAATTTGTCTCCTGTAAGAACTGCATTGGCAGGTACTCCAGGATGTCCACAAGAAATGGCTAAGGAAGAAAAGGACACACTATATTACAGTGTTTTCATATAGTAGAAAAAAAGCTGTTAAAATCTTTAAATATGAGATTAGTTCCATACAAAATAAAATTCTCGATAGATTTCCACTTTTTCATATTTTTAGTTTAGCTGTGGCTATCAATGGTTTACTGGTCACTTTTAAGAATAGAGACAAAATTTACCTTTAAAACTAACCTCTCTACTTTAGCCTTCCTTCGTATTATACAGAGATCTCTCTCCTTACTCATTTCCACTCACTATCCTAACTCTTACAAAATCCATTTCTTTTAAGGTCTGGAAAAGATAAACAAAACTGAGGTAATGTTGTAATGTGCTTTCACGTTACATATCCATAATGACTGGTAGTTTTATTATACCTACAGAATAAATACAAATAGTTTACACGGGTAAAGAGAAATAAAAAAATAAACCTGTAATATTATTACAGCACTGTGTTGAAGTAAAATGAGCAACAGAAGAAGGAATTACTGATCATTTTGGTGAATTACAAATCACACTTAAGTTTATGCTATTGCATTTTGTTTGTGAAAAAAAACTCCATAAGCAGTTTTGATACAGTTTTGGTATTTGCAAGCAAGTAGTTCAGATCAAGGAAGCATAAGTCATCTTAAAGTATATTATAAATCATATTCTGAATGCTTTTGGTGTAAAAGCTAGGTATCCTAAAAGAAAGGCAATGAAGAATTTTTGCATGACCACAGGGAATAGTCTTCAAACGTAAACAGGGAATACCAAATAAACAGATCAGTTTATCAGACTCACAAATTACTTTAATACATGATCTATGGACCATACATTTCTAGAGAAAAAAAAAGATTGCAAATTATGAACAATTTCTTATGGTTATTACTTTTGACAACAGTCATAATTGTATGCAATACACTGGGTCCTCTGATAAAATCAAACTGACTACACAGTACAGTGCTGCCAAAAACCATGGTCCTGACCTCTCTTCACAGTTGTGTGTGTCAGTTCCTTTCCCTGGGCTGGCAGAAGAGTTCATCAGGTTAAGAGTAAACCAAATCAAGAAACTGCTCTGGCTGAACAGTAATGTCACATAAAAAAAAAAAAAAGAAAAAGAAAAAAAAAAAGTTTAGTTCTCAGCAAAATCTGTTATCTTAATGAGCCTGCTGCAAGCCCTGACACAATTCAGGAAGGAACTGTAGTGGGTAAAGAGGAGGGGAAGAAGGAAGATCAGACTTTTGCAGAGAGAACCACATTACTCTTAATGTGGTTGTACAATGGTTTGTAGTCCAGGGAATTTTCTCCGATTCAGAAGGTAGAAAGAAGCATCTGCTTTAAGCAATGCCTCTCAGAGGTATTGACTCACATAAAAGGACAATGTTTTGCTATTTTTTTTCACTGTTGAACAAGAACTTCTAGTGATAAAATTTTCAAAAAGAACCTCATGTCCATTTTCAGTTAGAAGTTTATCTTACCTGTCTCTCCAAGCATTTTGCCCTACCACTGAAAACAATCTTATACTTGAAAAACAGAGAGATTGTCATTGATACCTCTTAAAATTAAACTGTACTTGAAAGGACTTTGTGTGACTTTATCTAAGAATGGATAAACAGATCATTCTCACAGAAAATGCTTTATTCATTTCAGTAGGAGTTTTATCTCAAGGATAGAATGCAAAATTTGCCCTGTAGATTTTGAGTATTCAGATAATGTTTCAGTCCATCAGCAGCAAATGACTGCTAGCCCAAAGGTGGCTGAGGAATTTAGGCACTTCTCAGACTTACTTGGAAGTTCCCATGACCCCAGCCTCCATCGTCAGAGCAAGCTTAGGACTTCCTATACTGAGGAGATGGATAACTATGACTTTATTGAAACTCTGTCTAAAGACAGAAGGACATATAAATGCTATCAAATTTCCAAAATGCTTGATGTAGAAAATTGGGTAGCTATTTTAGGTGATTAAGATTCCTCATATTCTTCTCCTCCTTCCATAAGGAATGGTCTTAGATTATCATTCCTAATGATAATATGTTCAGTAATGATTTTAAGTTTCTCTAGCTGTTTTCAAGTAGAATACTGTAAGAATACAGTATATGGGCAATTTACTATTTATTTTATAGCAATTCAAGTTATAGGTCCATAGTTTCCTCTAAAATAATTTTTATATTAATAGCTGAAAGTTGCATACCAGTTTGCCTGATTCTTCACAGAATTATACAATTTACAATATGTTGCTCATAAAATCCAGTTCTGGTTCCCAAAATATGACTGCATTTTTTCAACTTTTAGTACCTTTGCGAATAAAAAATCAGGCACCATTGTTTAATGCTAATACAACTGAATGAATACTTACACAAACACTTTGGTAGTGATCTATCCCACAGGCCATTAGCTTTACAGGTCAAAGCAGATGAACCCAACAGATAAAATCCCTTCTTGCAATGGTATGCCACGCTTGTTCCATATTTGAAACTTTCAGGGTAATTCTGCTGTCCATGCCGAATAGCATTTTCCACAAAGCCAGGGTCAGAACAGTTTACCACTATAAGACAAATAGAGTGTTTATCATGAATGCATAACAGCAACATCAAACACAAAGTTTAACAGTGATTTTTTTTGTTACTTCACTAGCAATTTGTAACTGTGCTACATTTCACCTCAAGTCTTCGATTTTAACTTGATTTTAGTGACATTTAAGGTATGAGGCATTTTATCCAAAATAACTTTTTGTTTTGAAAAAAAAGTATTGTGATCTTACTCTAGTTTCTACAATAGTCTTGGAAGGGCAAATGACTGGAAGCTGAAAGAGAACTTGGAGGCATTTTAAACCTTTTTCTCAGTCATCTTAGTTTGTCCACTTATTTAATTTTAATGAGAGGAAAGCAAAATGAAAATCAAACCAATACACAGTTTAAATCACACAAATATTTTATGTTTAAATTTCCTGTAATAACAAAAATACCAGTGAAAAGTAACAAGAGTATTTTCTGTTATTAATCTGTAGAAAAAAATAAAGGGATAATGATGAAAAATGAAATATTTAATTGTGGGGAGTGACAGAGTAAATTCATCAAAAAGTATGAAGTTATTCTTCAGAAAGCAGTTAAAAAGCAAACAAATTAGGGTTTTTTTTGGCCATGAGTGTCTAGTATAAGGTATATCCCTCCCCCGCAATTGTTCCTTTCACTCCCAGCAGTGAAAACGATGGTTTGTTGGTAGACTGAGAGGAGACACCGAGACCTCCATCACAAACTCAGCTTTGCTGTCTATCCGTCCGACAGCTGCATGAGAAGTTGTTCAGAAAGATTCAGAATTCAGAAGATTCAGAAAATCATTAACTTTTTAAGGTACTGATCGTCAAACAGTGACAGGAATCTACCCTAACAATAACTAGCTTCCATGAATTCTCAATAAAAAAAGAAGCCTGGGTCTCTTTTGAGTGGAGAAGAACATTAGATCAACATTTTTTACTTTCTTTCTTTTCTTTCCTTCTTTTTTTTTCTTTTTCTTTTTCTTTTACTTTAAGCTTTTTACTTGTTTTTTTTTTTTACTTCTGAATCATTTTTTTTCAAAATGTTAAATTTTAACACACATATTCCTTAATACTCCGTATTATCTAATACAATAGAACAAGCCACAAATGTTCACTCGTGTTTAATTTCAAATACAAAATGTTTCATAATCTGCCTGTTCAGCTGAAACCATTTTTCTTCTCAAGTAATGCGGTTGTGATCCCCAATATGACTGCCAGGAAATGGTGATCCATTATCTCACAAATGAATGTCCAAGGTTGTACAGGGTGTTTATCACGGCATAGAACTGAATTTTTGTTTCTTCTGAGACCTATGCCAGTGTTATAATCAGTGCCCCATTTTGCAGTGAATCAGCAAAACTGAGAAATAACTACAGTAAACTAACATTTTCCTGTTCTGATATCTCTGTTTTAGCAACCATCTTCACTACTACATAAAGAAGCTCTTCGTTTACATAGTAGCTAAAAAGGTAAAAACACACGGAAGTGAATTTTTTTTATGGACTATATAAATCCTCTGAAATAAATATCATAAAACTGTGTGAATTAAGGTGAATTATGGTGAGTTAATATCAATTTAGCAACCTTATTTAAGACTGGATGAGATTAGAAACCACCTTGTCCTGGTGTAACTAAACCTCTTGCTACATCCACACAGATCTACAGTACAGGTGCATTTTATATAGCTTGCATTCCTTATTGCCCACATTAACATTATAAATTAGTCAAAAGCAGTTTAAACAAGTACATACACATTTACCATGAGATTTCATTGATGCACATAATTAAACTAATAACTAATGAAATACTGATTTGTTTTTCCTAAACTATATGACAAGACTGATACTAGATGTCTACCTAACTCATTACTTGCAATCTCAACATTTCTTTCATTTCTTTCTCAAGAATCCCTTGACTATACTCTGTGCATTTTTCAGTTAATTATGTTATTATCTGAACATTTTTCGCCCTTTACTTCTTTTCTAGAGCTCCGGGTGCTAACTGCTAAATGGTAATACTGTTAGTAATTTCACCTCTGGCAAGAGAGGGTGGTAGTGTTTTATGCTTGTTCAGCATCTCTGTATTGAAAGACTGTCTATAAATATGGGCTCCAACCTAGTTTCATGATTGAGACTTTGGGACAGTTTTCCACCAATAAGAAAACGTGGGTCTGTACCACTGTACAGGCAACAATACGAATGTTTTCACCACTCATCCCGAAGGCTTAGCTAAAGTTTATGGAAATTCTTTTTGATAAGTTTTGCCAAAAGTGTATTAAGGCCAAACATAAAATTTGCTATTTTCCTTGTCATGATTTTTTGAATCTTAAAGCTATCTGCATGAGTATATGTTTATGTATGCTTGAGTATGTATATGCATATATGAATAAATACATATACATCCTTCAAGCTAAAAAGTAAACAAAATTATATCTTCAATGCTATTTAACATACTCGATAGATCTTTTAAAATATATACATGAGTGTAGTGTGGCTAGCAACGGATGCATAAAGGAGTACTTCAGAAAACAATTTGAGTTGGTTGGCATACAGAACTAAGGCAGTAGTTTCCCTGATTACTTTTCACCCTGGGGACACAGTTGTAAATCACAGAAAGAACAGAAGGAGATTGCTTTCTCTCAATGACAGCTGTCAAGGGTTACATGGGAAATGAATTCTGGCACTCTCAATTTAGTCTGTTGAGAAAAGCAGGAGAATGCTTTAAATCTGCCCTGATGACTTTGGAACTTCACACTGAGTAGATTCAAACCCTTGAGGACAAAGAAGTGAAAAGACCATGTCAGAGTCCTCTAGGCAGCTTTCTGTTAAAAAGTTGAATGATCATCACAAAGTACATCATTCACGGTATTTCATTTCTTGTTCTCTCTCCCTCTTTCTTTCCCTTGACAGAAACAATGCTAAACTTCTTTTTAAACTTTGATAGCTGATCAAGAGTATTTTTTAAACTTTATTTGAAAAGCACTACATGAACGCTGGTATCTAGAACATGTACAGAGATAACCACTCATAATGAATAAAAGTAGAGAATTCACTCTGACTTTACAGCAAATTTTAGGAGATACTGTGTATAACAAGAAAAGAATGGGCGGTCTGTGAACATCTAGTTAGTGTTTGTGGTAATTTTGTAAAGTTCAGTGTAAAGTCAATACCACAAAAAATAGTAACCACTCGATGAGCTAAAAGAAAAAAAAAGTCAGCATACAACTTCAATTTGCAGAAGTTTCAAATAAATAGAAGGCTCATTTTTTTCTTTTTTTAAATATTTTTCATTTTACATGAAAATTCTGCCCATATAAACCATAAAGCTAGAAACATCTAGAAACATAAACCTGAAAATCAGATGTCCTGATATGCTTCTGATTTGTCCAGGCAAAGTAAATTTTCACTGTAATATTACAGTACAAATGTCTTGGGTAATAGTGTAAATCAGCGCTAATAATTTGCCACATAACAGCCTGTTATAAACAAGACCTTAACTAACATCAATCATTTCAATTGAGTATACAGAACTAAGTTGACATATTTTTGTTTGTTAGATGAAAGGCTAAGACATACTTAATTTTTAAAAGCACTCCAAAATATTTCTCACTGATATAAAGATGCCAAATATTCTCTGTGTTACAAAAAATCCAGTCTTTCCTATACCTCCTCAGTGAAAAATTTTGTCTGACTTCTCAGTTAACTAAGTAGCCAATTCATCCTCTACTACAATAAAACTGGAGTCCATAGCCTGTGAAAAAAATCCATAAACTTACAATTAGTTTTCTAGGTTTGAACTAGGTTGTTTAAACTTCATAAAATGATAGTTCTTTTAGATTACTAGATTAGCTAATTAAAAAAAAAAAGCATTTGTCTTGTAAACCTATGAAAACTCTTCTTCCCATATCCCTTCCCGCAGTGCACACAAAGGTGTGACCCTTACAGATATAAAAGAAAGATAAGTTGTATACTTGTCCTTACTCTTTAGATGTGTTGTCTATATGTACATTCATTTTTGTACTAGGTAGTGTGAATGCAATAATTTTTGTTGTAATAGTACTAATTCTGGAAGCATATCCTAAATCTTTACCATAGGTTGCAATTTTTAAAACATATTGCAAATATATTTTAAAAAGTGTGTGTGAAAAGTGTGTGTGTGTGTGTGTAAAAGCATAAAATAGTCATTGAAGCAGGATTATTAGTTTCAATTGTTAACAAGAAAAATTCATATATTTTATCAACATTACCACCACGTTTTTCTTTATACTTGTGAAGGAAATAGTAGGAACATAAATTCTTCCAAGGCATTGCTGTGTAAATCATCATGATTTCTCAGAACACAGAAGATCAAACCTGAACAATACCAAAATCCGTATCCAAAAAAGTTTTAATTTTAAGATACTAAAGATTTTAGTTGCTGTGTTGCAAAAAGTGGCAAATTGATGTCGGCATTCTGGAATGGGGTAAAATACTTCTGCAAATACTGTTCAGAGCTCTCTAATTCATATTAGAATCTAAAAATATATTGAAATCTTTATTTCACACATTTTTTTTCTGATCATATGGTGCTGAAGTGGCATGCATGATCTTTCTCTGTACTGTTTTGTGTGTGTCAGGCAAAAAAAACCCCACATACTTTCTTTGGCATAAATTCCTGACAGCAACTTGTTAGCTATCCTATTAGCGACACAATAGATAGGGGCAATGCATCATTGCCACAGAGTGCCTGACAGATGTCTCACTGTATTTGTAAAAAATATCTGTGTTTCCTAAGCATGCACAGTAATTTAGTAAGAAAATAATATAAAATAAATCTTTTCTTCTGAAATAACCTCAAGCACTATTCAATATTTTGTAGCAACTACATGCAGGGTCTCAGTCAAGTGAAGCCAAGTTTGCTATTGATTCAGGTGAACTCAAGTGAGGTTTGAAAGAAGGGTGACGTAAAATCTCTGCTATATTAAATGATGCAGGTTTGCCAGGAATATTAATCTCTTCAATAGCAGATTA